CATCTGTAGCAGATAATCTCTTTGGTATGCAGAAGGTCCCAGGCGTTCGGACCAGGCAGTTAAGGAGGTGATGGGAAAGTCCTTAGCCTGAGACTGGAGAACTGCTGTCAGTTCGAATAGGTAATACTGCTGGACAGGTGGTCTGATTCTGTATAAGGCAGCTTCATAGGTGGCCACGTGTGTCTTCCTTCTCAAGGGACGGGCTGTGGCTTGGCGGAAGAGCCCTTGCTTGGCATGTGGTCGCAGGTTCAGTCCCCGGCAGCATCTCCAGTTAAAAGGACCAGGCAGGAGGTGATGTGAAAGGCCTCCGCCTGAGACCCTGGAGAGTGGTCAAGAGGGCCTGTGGCTCAGTGGCAGAGCCTCTGCTTGGCATGCAGAAGGTCCCAGGTTCAGTCCCCGGCATCTCCAGTTAAAAGGACCAGGCAGGAGGTGATGGGAAAGACCTCCGCCTGAGATCCTGGAGAGATGCTGTTAGTCTGAGTAGATGATGCTGACCATGATGGACTGAAGGTCTCATTCGGCATAAGGCAGCTTCATGTGTAAGCTTCATGTATGTGCGCGCGCATGCCAAAGACGTGCAGAATGTCACCTTTTTAAGCACCGGGTTTGTATTCTTAGGTTATCCCCCAGGGTCTCTTTGAGTCTTTTGTAGAGTAGCCCCGTGAGAGAGTTTGCACCCCCCGTGTTCAGGGGTTCACATCCTCTAAACTCCCAAGAGCAGAAAGCTTGAGCGTGTCCAGAAGAGGGCAATCAGGAGGTTGAGAGGGTTGGAATCCAAGTCTTATGAGGAAAGGCTGAAGGAGTTGGGTACGTTTAGCCTGGGAAAGAGAAGGCTTAGAGGGGACACGACTGCAGTCTTCAAATATCTGAAGGGCTGTCATGTAGAAGATGGATCAGATCTATTCTCTCTTGCTCCGGATTGCAAGACTAGATCTAAGGGGTGGAAATTACAAGGGAGTCGTTACTGGCTAAATATCAGGAGAAACTTCCTAACTGTAAGAGTGGTTGAGCAGTGGAACAGTCTGCCTCGGGAGGTGGTGGGTGCTCCTTCGCTGGACGTTTTCAAGCGGAGGCTGGACGACCACCTTTCGGGAATGTTGTAGGTATGTAGGGCTCTCTTTCAGTATACTCCTGCAGTGCAGAGTGCAGGGGGTTGGACTAGATGACCTGCAAGGTCCCTTCCAACTCTAACATGATTCTGTGATTCTATGAACGGGCCATTGCCTTCATGCCCTGCCTTTCAGTTTTCCCTCTTGGCAGCAGTGCAGGACGGGTCTCTTCTGTGGCGCAGCGAGGCTCACGGAAGTGCGTAAGGCCTTGCGCTTCCAGGTGGTCACCAGTCCCCTTTCCACTCTGGGCCCTACAGGAAAGCCATGGTCCATCAGCTGATCCAGTCCTATCAGCGGATGCCAGGCAACGCTGTGCTGCGGACCTTCCGGGTCACCTACAAGCGCCACGTCCTCACCATGGACGATCTACAGACACTCTATGGGCCGAATTGGCTCAACGATCAGGTACAGGGAGCGAGCGGGGGGGGGGGAGGAAGGGGCCCTTTAAACAGCAAGGAAAACAGATGACTTTGGGGGGGAGGTATATGTGTGTGGGTGTGGCACAGTGGTGCAGGCATTGGATGCTGCATGCAGGGCTTTTGTGCAACAGGGAAGTGTAGTAGCAAAGAGCCCGCAAAGGGATCATCTCCTCAGAGGCGAGCGACTCCCTCCCAGCATAAGCGTGTGCATTTCATATATATATTTGCCATCTCGGCAGCTAAGCAGGGTCATCCCTGCTTAGTCCTTGGAGTGGAGGCCACCGAGGAACTCCAGAGCCGCTGCACGGAGGCAGGCGATGGCAGGACCCCCTCTGAAGCCTCTTGCCTCGGAATCCACGAGGGGTTCCTATAAGTTGGCTGTGATTCAGCGGCCCTTTCGACCACCAAAAAGCCACTCTTTGCTCAGTATATAATGAAGGGAGGAACGGGCTGCCACGAGGTTAGGCGAGGGAATGGCCACGTCTTGGCTGTGATGGCTAAGCGGATCTTCCATTGTGGGGGGGGGGGAGAGATAAGGAGCAGGGGGGAGAAGTTGCCATCTTCCTGCCGCTCCAGACTTCCCAGGAGCAGGGGTCATTTCATAGAAAAAGAGGTGCAGGGGCTCATTAGCACAACTCATTAGCATAACTTATTTGCATGTGCCACGCCCCCTGACATCACCGGAAGTGTGTCAGAAGGCAACACCCACCGCTCAGGCTCCACTGGACTGTTTTGGATTGCTAGCTAGTGAGGGGGGGGAGAGAGAACGTGCAGATCTGTCCTCGCAGAGGAGGGAGAGCTTGTACCGGAATAAAACTTGGTCTTAAAGGTGCCACTGGACTGTTTTGGGCCGTGGGTGGGTGGGGCTCTGCAACTTACCTGGCTGCTTCTTGCTCTGACGGCTGGGAGCAGGGAGTGGGGCTTGTTGCATGTGCCCGCCCCCCGAGCTCTTTACTGCCAGAGCTCCGCTCCTGTGCGCTCCTGCAGGAAATGACCCCTGCCCAGGAGCATCTGCCTACCGGCTGCTGTGGGGCTTGACCATTGCTGACCTGCCTACCTTGGCAGAGTGTTTCTGACGTTGTCAAAATCCCTGCTGAGGCTCTGTGAGGGGCGTGTGGCCGTCCTGGTGGAGGGGAGCCGCCGTGCTTGTCTCTCTCTGGAGATTCCTGTGGACAGAAACTTAATGCAGCCGCCTCGTTTCCTCCCCTCTCCGGGCAGGTCATGAACATGTACGGGGACCTTGTCATGGACACCGTGCCAGAGAAGGTGAGGCGCTGGTGGGGAGCGGGCAGCCTAAGAGGCTGGGGGAGGGGCGGGTGGCAACGATCCAAAAGGCTGGGATGTTTTGGTCGGCCCCAGACAGGAAAGCTTCCACTGCCTTTGCTGTGCCTACCAGTAGGTTTCCCGCCACCCATTTGCTTCTTCCGCAAAGTAAATGGGCCCGTCTTGATTTTCTTCCCCCTTATTGGAGCAGAACATGTTTCAGAAGAAGCCAGGAAAGGGGGGGGGGGGGACAGGATGGAACATTTTTGTCTCTGCAGTGGCCTCCATTGTTGAGGGTGGTGCTTACCTGGCAGCTGCCTGGCATTTGGCGATTGTCCTCAGAGCCCCCGTGGCCGTCATTTTATAACTGGTCTCAGACCCCTGGCAACCATTTGTTGGCGGATTCCACTCCTTAGAATTCTAAAAGGGGCCAAAGGCTCGACGCAACTGGGGGCGGGGGGACCCCTGCCCTAAGGGGGAGATGCATTTTTCAGCGCGTTGATGAAACCAGCTGTCATCCTGGCTCCTTCTCTTCTGGGGCGCTCGCTGCAGTTTTGTGATCTGCTGGCATTACTGGATGTAGCCGGCCACTTCACCGGCACGTGAATCATGGCGGTCCCCTCCAGTTCATCTGACCTCACACCCCTCCCTGCCCAATGAGGGCAGCTTCCTTTTGCCCGGCCAAAACGGCTAATTCCTCTCCCCCCTCCCCCTTTTCAGGTTCATTTCTTCAACAGTTTTTTCTACGATAAGCTACGAACCAAGGGGTACGAGGGAGTAAAACGCTGGACCAAAAATGTGAGTTGTGGCCTGCAGCTGGTATGGGGACTCAGTAGGAGGTGCTGTTGGGGGCATTAGCAGGAAACGGAGTGCTTCACTTCCACACGGGGAGATGGCAGGCTTCTTCCTAGGCACTCTGAACTGTGATCCCCCCTAATGTTCCGGGCAGAGGTGCGTAGAACCTGCCTCGTGCTCGGGGGGCACTGCCAGCTCCCCAGCTCCCTCGCAGCCTGCTCTCCCTCGGTCTCTGGGAGTTTGGCAAGGGTTAAGGTTCCTTCCGCCACCACTAGGGACCAGAGTCATGGGGCCTCTGGAGAGAGAGTGCTCAGTCTGTATGGTGCCCACCCCACACACACAGGTGGATATCTTCAACAAGGAGCTGCTTCTCATCCCCATCCACCTGGAGGTCCACTGGTCCTTGATCTGCGTGGAAGTGAAGAAGAAAAAGATCACGTACCTGGATTCCCAGCGCACCCTCAACCGGCGGTGTCCGAAGGTAAAGGGAAATGCGGCTGCACACCCCTCGCTGCCCTTTCACGCTTGTTGTGGCTGCCTTCCCAAAAAAACCCCACCCGGAATGCTTTGTGATAACAGCGAGGATCCTTGGAGCTACTCTGTGGCCACAGCTCTTTGATGGAGAAGGCCCAAGGCAAAGGACGCCAGTTTCATAGCTAGCTTACGTTGTCACTATGGATGAATCTTTTAGGAAGAAAAGGCATAGAGGGGGGATGCGATAGAGGTCTGTGGAATTATGCATGGGGTGGAGAACGTGGGGAGAAGGCGCTTTCTCTCTCTCTCTCCCGAAATACTAGCACTTGAGGGCAATCCTGCCTCTAAGCTGTGGAGTCTTGTGAGCAAAAATTCTACTTTGTGAATCTGGCATAGCTGGGATAGGGCGATTAATAAATCGAATAAATAATTATAATAATACTGGCATTAAAGTTGTGAGCGAGCGATTTGGCTGCTGCATAAATTAGTTTGCTCTGGAAGCCATCCTTCCTGAGCGAAGATAAAAACGTGTGAGCCGGAGGCTAAAAAACTGTGAGCTAGCTCACACTAAACTCAGCTTAGAGGGAACACTGCTTGAGGGCATCCAATAAAACCGATGAGCAGGAGATTCAGCACGGACAAAGGGAAATAACATCTTTACACAGGAAGTGATTAAAATGTGGGATTCGCTGCCAGAGGGTGTAGTGATGGCCACAGGCATAGATGGCAGAGAGGTCTGTCAGTGGCCTACTAGTCATGGTGACTAAAGGGAAACCTCCGCATTCAGAGGCAGTACACCTCTGAATCCCAGTGCCAGGAAGCAACATCCGGGAGAGGAACTGGTTGGCCGCTGTATGAAGCACATGTGGACAATCACGACCTGATCAAAGAACAAATGTCAAGAAAACAGTCGTGAGAGTCTGACCCACAAATCAGGCAGTCAGCAAGACTTGCAAAGAAAATGCTTTTTGTATATTATTGTCAACGGGCACAATATTAGAGTAGTACAAAAGCTCTCATGCTCATAAAGTGCTTTACGCCTGGGATCCATCAGAAGCTTAGCAGCATATTTGAGCCTGAATACTTATTGAGATCAGGGTCCTATCTGAGTGTATTATCTTTCCTGATTTTTTGTAAAGCACTTTGTGAGCAAGAGAGCTTTTGTACTATAATATTTCCTGAGGAAGATCCAATTTTGAAACGTTATATAATCCGGAGGCGGCGTTGATGATGTAGTTTTACACAAGGATTTTCTTATGATTTGACGGAATCGGTTCATTGTGTTGTAGTGCTTGTTGACAATAATATACAGAAAGCATCTTCTTTGCAAGTCTTGTTGACTGCCTGATTTGTGGTCAGACGCTCACGACTGTTTTCTTTTTATATATATATATAATTTATTATTTTTCAAAAGGAAGAGAAACAAAAAAGAGAGAGTGACACATTTCATAAATATCATTGAAATTTCTCATACACTACAAATAAAGATGAATTGCCTAAGTTTACCTTCTCATATACCAACTGCTTAGCAACATTATATATTAAAAACCTATGTATTTTCTTTCTACTGTCAAACACCTATGCAAACATATTTCTACTAAGCATAATCTAAATATCAAGCCACATATCCTCATTCCTATCATCTTTAGTGAAGAAAATAATGCATATTTGAAGGAAATAAAAACAGAAAATGTTACCATGTTTATCATGCTTCATAATGAATACCTAAATCTTATATTTAATGGTTAATCAAATATCTTTTCTAGTATAAATCAATTTTAGCATATATCAATATTCTTATTCATCCTCCTTGGGGAAAAGAGAAAATATAGGTAAAAGGAAACAAAAAAGAGAAAGATTATTATTTTTCAGACAGACTTATTGAAATCTCCATTACTGTTTTAAAATCACTTTATGGCATACTTATATTTTGCTTCAGCATATTATAAAATCAGATAATTATTTTATCATAAACATTGAATTAGTCAATAGCGCATAATATGCAATTACATATACACCAGGAACAATTACTCAGTTGAATTTTTTACTATATTTTCTATTGAGATCTTTCATATGTCTAAAAGTATTGCTTAGCTTAATATCAATAACAAAATTTGATCACTTTATGGCCTACTTATATTTTATTTCTGCATACTCTAAAATCAAATAATTACTTTGTCATTAAGATTAATCTTACTCAATTTTACCATCTTATTGCTAATTTGGATTAGCCTATAGCTCATATAATCAGTTTCACATGGACCAGTTTCACATTACAAATTTACAAATGTAAACCGCTCAGAGCCCTTAGGGGGTGAGCGGTCTATAAATTGAAATTAAAATAAAGAAATAAATAAAATTACCCCATAAGTAGTTTAATTATATTTATTCTTTCTTCTTCCTTTGTGCTCTTTTTTTTTTAAACCAACATAATTATGTGCCTTTCCTCTTTGTATAAGGAGAAGATTTCTCTTATTTCATTCCATCTATATTTGATACTTGAAATGGTTGTAGATTTCATTAAGTCTAATTTGCCTTCCAAAAGGAATATCTTCTCCTTCAGCATCTCAGGAGTTATAAGATTTGTCAGGCTTTTGGTAGTGGTGTTAAGTTGTCTTGTATTGCTCCTTGTCTTCTCTTTAACTGTAGAAATCAGTTCATGAAGTGAAGCATCTTGATTGCAGTCTTGTTCTTCCGGTGGAGTCTGTTGTTGATGTAGGTCTTCCTGTTCGGTTACAATTCCCTTATCATAGAGTCTCTGAAAAGTTTCTTTGACCATCTGTTGAATTATATCCACAATTTCCTCTTTAAATTGTTCCCAAGAAAATTGTATCACTTCAGTCTCATTACACTCGTCTGTCTCGTTGCACATGTTTTGGGAATGCATCATCCTAACGTATCAAGGTTTTAATTGCATCCCGTAGAAAAAACAGTCTCTGAGGTTATGTTTACGGTCTATCTCACCAGTGTTCCCAGAACAAAAGATCAGTAGCCCTATTAATTCCACCAGTTTTCTACATAAACCCGATATTACAAGGTCTCCTTATGTAGTTCTGGGAGCAATCTATTCTATAAATTTTAAACTAGATACATCTCTTATATAGGTATTGCAAAGTTGATCAAAATCATAATCCTTCTTGTACCGTAGTAGCCATTTTCTGTTAGAAATAGCAGTCAGACTTTTTAAAAATCCCTTCGTCATGCAAAAAGCCGAATTTGTTTTAGATTCAAAGCAGTAAAGTCAGTAGCTTGATTTAACTTTCCCCGGGAAAGAACTATTATGGTTAATAAAAAGTTCACAGACCAGTGTTTGTCTTTTTTGCCCCTAAAAGTGTTTCAGCAGTCTTTACTTCCCGGTCTTGTCGCCGCCGCTGGCAAGAGGAAAGCGGGGGGGGGGGAAATTCCACTCCTGTTCCTTTCTCTTTTGGGAGATTTAAAGGGGCTTAAGCATAGAAGTCATTAGGATGTTGATTGTTGCATTTTCGGTTACTCACGGTATGGATGTTATTTCTCCATCAATGTTGTGATGAGGTTCAGAGTTCTCTTGTGGGGGTGTTCACAGCTTCTGCAGTCATGGCTCCATGACTGTGCAACTTCGTGCTTTGGCTTCAGGACGCTACCTGAGCTACCAACCGCTCGCTACCACTCGTGGGGCGCCGGATCAAGTCCCCTGCAACCGACCCTCCCTCCGAGAGAGTCGGTGGGCCTTCAGAAACCTCGAAAGACCCCAAAAAGACACAAAGAGTTGGCGATTCTCGGGAGCTCCCCGAGAGATCAACCGCTTCGCTGTGCCGCAGCCCCGTCTCTCCTCTCACGACTGTTTTCTTTACATTTCTTCTTTGGCCGCTGTATGAGACAGGACACCGGACTATGTGGACTCTGGGTCTGATCCAGCAGGGCTCCTCTGATGTTCTTCTGAGCACTTTCTAAAAACTGTTTCCCAGGGCTCCCAGAGAGCAGCTGTGCAGTTTGTGTGCCTGGGACTCGGGAGTGCCAGCTGGCTGGAGAGCAGCCAGTGGCAGGGGCTGAGCCCAGGCCGTTATTTTTATTTATTTAAATCATTTATTACCCACTTTTTATCCTAACAGCACTCTTTCGGGTATGTTGTAGGGCTCTCTTTCGGCTGTGCTCCTGCAGAGTGCAGGGGGTTGGACTAGATCACCTGCAAGGTCCCTTCCGACTCTTAACATTCTATGATTCTATTCAAGGCGGCTTGCAACACGAATAAAATAGAAAAAAATAAAGATTTTCCAGAACTTTTAAAATCACAATTTAGGAGGGCAGGGAGCCGTTCCTATTAGCAGCAGAGGAGAGGACTCGCAAGAATGGGTTTAAATTAAGAGCGGGAAGGTACCGGCTGGAGCTTAGGAAAAGCTCTTTTACAGTCAGAGTTGTGCAACCGTGGAATCGGCTGCCTTGTGAGGTGGTGAGCTCCCCCTCAGTGGCCATCTTTAAGCAGCGTCTGGACAAACACTCGTCAGGGATGCTCTAGGCTGATCCTGCACTGAGCGGGGGTGGGGGGTGGACTAGATGGCCTGTATGGCCCCTTCCAACTCATATGATTCCATGATTATGATTCTGAATAAAACTGTCTTCAGCTGCCTCCAGAGATCAAATTCTGACACACAAAACCTGGAACACACAGACGTGCACTCACCGCAAACCCCGGTCGCTGGATTAAATCCAGGCCGCTTCTGACACCCTAATGTAGACAGTCCAGCAAGCCAAGATCCAGGGGCCGCCACCGGACCGAGACTTGAGTAGCGTCCGTGGCTTGTTGTGACACCCGGATTTGGAACCCACGCTTGGCCGCACGATACCGTCCCTTGCAGTCTCTAGGGCTTCAACGTTTGTGCTCCAGTTGGGATTTGTTACCGATGTCTGGCAGAGAATCTTTGATGCCTGAATGCTGTTGCTGTGTCTGTCCCCCGCCTCCCTCCCCCAGCACATCTGCAGGTACCTGCAGGCTGAAGCAGACAAGAAGAACCGGCCGGACTTCCGAGATGGATGGAAAGGGATTTTCCAGATGGTGCGTATCCTTCCGGTGGTACATTGGGGGGTAGGGTGGGGGGCCTCCCCATGTGTGGAGATCTACACTGGTGTTCTTCTCTGCAGCAGGAGTCCAGTCTGCCCTGCGACAGACCCAGGGTCCTTTGGGCAGGAGCTAACGCTCCATAGACTGGGCTTGCAGTGAGCTTGAAACTTTCCGGATCTGCCCAGTGACTTCCCTCTGGGTCTTCTCTGCTCTGCAGGGCTGGGGGGGGGGGGGGGCTTGTGTTACTCTCAGTAGCCAGGCTGCTCGTTTTCTGCCCCCTAGGATTCCCCCCTCTGCTCTAATCAAGCTGATTGCGATATGCGTGGTATCCATGCATCCTTCGCAGGCATTCTTTGCCGCCCCCCTCTCCTTCTGAGTGGGGTATAAAGGCTCAAAGACCTCCATTCTTACTTCTAAAAATTTTGTTCAATTGGTTTGCCTCCAATTGTCCATTTGAATGGTTTCCAGGTTTTGGAAAAGACAAGTATTTTTTATTTTTCATGATTTAGAAGTAATTTACTTGTTGTAAAATACAAAAGGCATCTCTTTAGTAAACGCTTTAAGGCAACTTCGGAGCAGGACAGTAGTACCATGTCGTCTGCATATAATAGTAGAGGGACTTGGGCAGAACCCAATTGAGGGGCATGGCCATCAAGCAGCGTCCAGGTAAGGGGAGAGATCATTTAGGAACAGGTTGAAAAGAAAGGGTGCTAATATACAACCTTGTCTGACTCCTTTATTGAATGGGATTTTTGACGTTAATTTCCCTGACAGTGAAAGTTTTATTTGGCATTTTGCAAAGGTATATCACTTTTTAATAAGTTTAAGGAGTCTCTTATCTATATTTAGTTGTAGACGTTTGGCCCAAAGGAGTTCCCTGTCAGTTGAATTGAATGCCCCTTTAAGATCTGTATCCATTCTTACGGGGGCCTGACGCAGGCAGCTCTGACTCCCAGCAGCTCATAACCTCAAAAATGTTGGTCTCTAAGGTGCTGCTGGGAGTCGACTCTGAGCAGTTAGGAAGAGGCAGGCACCTCCCACGGGTCTCTGCATCTGTGTGTGAATGGGACCCCCTTTCACACCATACCGCGTTTAAGGGAACTTGCCCAGTCAGGGCCGTGGGACGCATCGATGGCCGTCCAAAGGATCTCTTGATAAAGTTACCTTGGGCTGATTTGGCAGAAGTACCGAGACCCTGAAGATGGTGAACTCACGAAACGTCTTGAGGGGAATCATAGTCACAATAACGGGGGGGTTACAAGTAAGGGACTCTGGATAATGCCAGGCAGAGAGACTGGCTAGAGCTGTCCTGAGTGACACGTGACACACCCAGCAAGGTCTGGCTGGACCCTCCTGGGGAGGGGGGGCGATGGTGGCTGGGAGAACCCGCTTCTCACCCACCGCCGTGCGATGCTAGAACGGCAAATGGGCAATTTCCGAGTGCTGATGGGGCCTTCCATATTGAGGGAAGCCAAGGCACCCTTAGCTGCCTTCTGTTGGTTTCCTGTAAAGTGCTTCGAAGGCCCGAACTTGTGTCTGTTCAGACGCCTTGTTAATGGTGGATCATCCCGATTTCCCCACCATCTCCTGTTTGCATTTGCTTGGGAGCTGTACACCTTCTGCACTCTGAGGATAATGAAAGAACTGGGAGGAGAGACTTGCATCCTATAAGAGCATCAGAAGAGCCCTGCTGGATCGGACCAGTGGGGTCCCATGTAGTTCAACATCCTGCCTCACACAGTGGCCAGCCAGTTCCTCTGGTGAGCCAGCCAACCACAGGGTATAGAGGTTGAGGCCCTCATAAGAACGTCAGAGGAGCCCTGCTGGATCAGACCAGTGAGAGGCTGTCTAGTCCGGCATCCTGCCTGACACAGTGGCCAACCGGTTCCTCCGGAGGTCCAACAGCAGGGCAGAGAGGCCGAGGCCTTCCCCTGATGGTGTCTCCTGGCACTGGGGTTCAGAAGGTTTTTTGGTTTTGGTTTTAGCTCAAGTCTAACAATCAGATCTTTACGTGATAACCAATAGCTGTCAAAATTCTAAAAGCAGGTGACCATGCAAATAACTCTTAAAAGACTAGCTGACCAGGCTGTAGTGGCCACCGGGTGACATTTTGCCTTGCAGCTAGGAGGTGGTCCTGGCCTGCCTTAGAGAGAGAGAGAGGAGAGTGGTGGGGATGCAGAGTGCTGGGAGTCCTTAACAAATGTGTAGAAGGGAAGGAGGGCCTTTTCCCGGCTGTCCAGCACCCCCCCCCCCTTTTTAAAGATCATCTCCTCCTGGAGACAGGGCTCTCTGCACGCCAGCACCCCTCCTTCGGTCTGCTCCCCCGCCGCTAAGGCTGACCTGGTGCCTGCTTTCCTTTCCTTCAAGTGTTAGGCCAAAATATTGCTCTTTATCCAGACTTTTAACTAAAGGGTTCCACTTTTTCCTCCTGGTGTATGGTCTGCTCCTAATCTGAAAACTCTCTTTATTTTAGACTGCTCTGTTTGTTTCATGCAGTTTCAACGCTCTGGCTGTTTCTGTTGACTTGGTCTTAATTTATTGATTTGCTTGTCATTTTTTTTTGTTGGTGGTGTTTCATGGTTTGAGTGTGAGCTGCCTGGGGCAGGCCCGAGAGGCGGCATCCATGTTTTCTAAACAGAGCTGTAACCAGCTGCCCAAGAGCGAGGCCCTGGAATGGCACTGCCTCATGGGCAGGGGAGCGGGCATCCTTTCAGCTGATTTCTCTGTCTCTCGTTTCCTCCTCAGAACATTGCCAGGCAGAACAACGACAGCGACTGTGGCGCTTTCGTCTTGCAGGTGAGGGCCAGGTCTTTGCAGGAGCAGCTTGCTCTCCTCCCCACCCCCCAACTATGGCATGCCCAGAAAGTGTAACTTAAAACTACTAGAAGGGAGAAAAATCTTGAGAGCTGGGGCAAACTGCCACTTTCCTCTTCTGTAGAAGTTCTCATGCGGGGTACTGAAAACTGCATAGCAAAAAGTAGCTTTTCTGATCAAGCGTAGATCACGACGGGTAGCTGTGTTAGTCTATCCGTAGCGGCAGAAAAGAACACGAGTCCAGGAGCACTTTTGCAGGAGGCTGTGAGCTTTCTTGAGTCGCTGCTCACATCAGTATCTGAAGAAGTGAGCAGTGACTCACGAAAGTTCCTCCCCTGCCACAAATTTTGTTAGTCTTTAAGGTGCCACTGGACTCTTGCTCTTTTCTGTTGATCAAGTGTAGTGTGAGGAAGCTTTTCTAAAGGCAAATCCATCCCCCCCCTCCCCCCCGGGTTTTACATACTTTAGTTTGGCTTCCCAGGGAAAAGGTCTACAGCAGCCAGAGGCAGTGGGCTTCTCTTCGCACACCAAAGCTCAGTGGCATGACAAGAGAAACTCCCTCCTAGGGGTGTACAAAAAAAAAAAGGCCGTCGGGTAAATCAGACCTGAAAAATATCGGTAAATGGCAAATTTCCCCAGTAAAATACCGGTAAGGTATTTGGTTTTGGGCTATATTCGGTATTCCCGAATATATTTGGGTCTGATTTACACCTCCCCAGGAAAAGGAGGCATGTTAGAATGCCTCTAGTAGACCCTACAGATTTCCCTGTCAATTTCACTCTCTGCCAGTCAGCTGGGAGTAAAATTGACAAGGGAAAGCCTGGCTCTCTGCCTTCCCTTCTCTAGCTGACAGATTGTACCTGGAAAAGGGCAGGCAGGGAACCTAGGCATTGTAAACATGCCTGCTTCCCTTCTCGGTCTTCTCCAGGCGCCCTGCGACATCTGGGAGGGAAAGAAAGGCAAAATTAACCCGAAAAAAAGCTTTTTCGGGTTCAGCTATACCGGTAGCCGAATACAGAACTGTGATCTGTATTCTGCTTATGTGATACTAAAAAAATACCAACAAGGTATTTTTCCAGCTCGGCTATAGCTGAATGCACACCCCTCCTCCCTCCTCCTCTGATGTGAAGCGAAAAAGAGGGTCCTTCCTGTGTGTCAAGGGGCGTATTTGGCAGGGGGGCCACCACTGAGGACTGATGGGTTCCGGACCCCCCATCCTGCGCAGCCAGCCATTTGTGGTCTGCTTTGGGCATTATTTTAAGCAGAAAAATAGTGGGAACTCCTTCAAACATTTCCCGGCCAGATTAATCTTTCTTGGCTCTTCTGCTGAGCTACTTGAACCAGCGGTCACTAGGGAGAGCCGTTTGTCTCGCTGCCAGATGCCAGTGGTCACCAAGCCCTCCCTCTCCATTCACTGGACGCTGAGGCTCACACCCTCCCTGTCTTCTCTCTCTTCCATTTGCAGTATTCCAAATTCCTGGCCCTGGGGCTCCCCTTTACGTTCACGCAGCAAGACATGCCGAAGCTCCGCCGCTTGATGTACAAGGAGATGTGTCACCGCAAGCTGACTGTGTGAGGAGGCCTGCGTCCACTCAGCCCCCTCCCACACACCCCATTCACCTTCCAGAGCCCGGAGCAGCCCCCTGAAAGCTCTGCCTCACCTGGCCAGGTGGAGGTTGACGCCTGGGGGTGTACACAAGGGGACTTTGGGGTGACTGGAACTCTTTGAGATTTGACAAGTGGACTCCTGTTAAGGGGGGAATGTGTTTTTAACCCAAATTTACCCCCCTTTATCTTTTTCTCTTCCTGGTCTCCCCCCCCCCCCCTTTTCATATTTAAACCTAACCCAGGTGGAGTTTCTTTGAGTTGGTTCTTTTGGGGAGGGACTGGGGGTGGCTGGGGGCGTATGTTGAGCCTGCCCTCTGGAAGTCCTCCACTCCAAATGGAAGAGAATTGATAAGAGCCCTGAAAACCGGGACCAGGAAGAGGGGGAAGGCAGCGGTCCCCCTTTCTCCCCTTTCTTGCCTTTGTTGGTTACTCGTGTTAGTGAATACTGTGTGGGTTTTTTCTCCCCTGAGTTGGAAAAAGTTGGGAGCTGGAAAAGCGGGGTGGGTGGCGGGAGGGGACAGGTTTATACACTGGGGCCGAGAACTGAAACAAGCATTTTTTATACGATGGCTGCCATTGTGGGTAATAAAAAAGCATTCTTTGGAGAAGCATGGAAGTGGTGGTGGACTGTCCCCAGGCCCTCCCCGGCAAACACAGAGTAGTGCAGCCTGGGACTTAATTTTATATTTAAATCCTGCCACAGCTTTTTAGACTCAGGGTGGCAAATAGTGCAACAACCTGGCCCAGAGCAGGTTGAAATTCTACTTGGTTTTTTTTTTAATGCAGGTTACAGATTAAAGACAGTTAAAGTAAACCATCTGAATCTGGCCAAACCATTCCCCTTCATGTTCTTAGGGATAAAACTGGCTTATGTGCCTTGCCGGGGGGGGGGGGGGGAAGCCCTCTCTGCTCAGCACGGGCACGGCCACAGTCTTAAGGAAGGGCTGGCTGAAGAACCTCGTAAAAGCTTCCAGTCTGCGTTATTGCGGTACTCGATGAGTGTGAAAAAAACCCCTTACAAGTAGAAGACATTGGATTTATACCCCGCCCTTCACTACCTAAGCAGAGCAGCTTACAATCTCCTTCCCACCACAGACACCCTGTGAGGTAGGTGGGGCTGAGAGGGCTCTTTTGAGAACCGCTGGTGAGAGAACAGCTCTGAAAGGTCTTGTGACTGACTCAAGGTCACACCAGCAGCTGCATGTAGGGGAGGGGGTGCCTGGTCCTTATGGCGCTCTGCTCTTCCACGCCATGCTTTGTTCCAGAGGGCTGGAACAAAGCAACGGGTTCCTTGCCCAAGCCCTTGGCCTAAAGCTAGGTCTTTCAAGCCCTGCTTGGAGGTGGCTTGGCTTTGGCCTCTACTTATTCCTCATGTGCTGCCTCTGCTGCCCCACTGTCGTGTACCCTCAGGACGGTCGGCATTTCTAAGCTATTGGGGGGGAGGGGAATTGAGTCATAGGCTAGGTCGGAGTAATGGGGGGAAGGGTTGCCAGCCTCCAGGTGGGGCCTGGGGATCTCCCACTTTCACAACTGATCTCCAGCTGACAGAGATCAGCTCCCGGCTGCTTTGAAGGGTGGCATTGGGCCATGCTGGGGCCCCTCCCCAAACCCCACCCTCTCCTGGATCCACCCCCAAATTCTCCAGGTATTTTCCAACCCAGACCTGGCAAGGGGGGGGGGGGTTGGTCCTGCAGGGTCAAAGGGTAGGGCCCAAATCACACCGGCTGCTTCTGTTCAGTCTGTGGGTTGGAAAAAGACCTTCTGCCCATAAGGGGAAATAGGAGCAGGTCCTACATCTTCTGTTCCCCCACTGGGGAGAAATGCAAACGGACGTGTGTGTGGGTGGGTGGGTGGCGGTGCTGCCAAAGTACCTGCTTTGCTTTGCCTGCCTGAGAACCCGAAGGCAGACCTTGGCACTGCCTGTGTGGAATGGGGCTGGAGGGCACTCTGAATCCGGGTCTCGGCTTTCTATGGGATGGAGGAAATGTGTGTGTGTGTGGGGGGGGGAATAGCTCCCAGTTGTCCCATTAATCCCCCGACTCCATCGACCATTCACGTAGGACTTGCTGGAGAGACCTTTATTCCGCTTCCCCGGGAGAAGATGGCTGCGCCGGAAGGTGGGCTGCCTGATACCCCCCCCCCCCCACCCGGTATTTTTGGAGGCGGCCGCCCTCGGCTCCT